CCTCTTGCCAATATGCGTTTTTGCATTTGCATAATATGCCAAAGCGCATAAAAAACGGCACTGCCGCTAATGGTGCAAAACTTGAAATTTGTCAGATGTAACTTTTTCAAACCTTTGCCCGATGCTGCTTGTACCCTTGGAGCCTGTAGAACAAGAATGGAGCCTACGGAACAAAAATCAATGCTACAAGTAGTATCAGTCAGGATCAAAGTCGGGATAAGAGATGAGCAGGGAAATGTAACTGAAAAGCACGAACCAAGAAGGACGACAAAAAGACGAAAGTTGTGAAATAAACATAGGACATTTGTGTGCCGCATGTCGGTCCCTTTGCTACGTTTATTTCAAATGAATTCGGTTTTGCGCAATATTTCGAGGCAGTACATGCCATCATGATGTCTTGCCAGGCTTCACCTGTGGAGCACCTGAAATGAACTTTTTGCGAGCATAGCAAACAGTAGTGAGCACTTTGCTGCATAATAAATGCCGGTACACACCAGATACATTGAGATTATATGCTTTCCATGATAGGTCGCTGGTTCACTGTGGATTTATACAACAGAAAGTTAATATTGTCTTGTCACAATGAATTTTTTGCCTCTTCACCGCTCGAAAAGCACCAAAATTCCACTGATCGCTTACTGGACTTATAAACGGCTGTATTTGAAATGTTGTGTGTTAGAAAACAGAAAATTTCAAAATTTAGTTTTTGACCAATCATCTATTGTTGTTTAAATGAAATCTGAAGATTTTTAGTTTATTAGAAAAATTACGTGAAAAAAAAATCGAAAAAAGAGGAACTCTGTCCGAGCTCGGGTCCATTAAAAAATCATGACAGTAACCTAAAATCGGACTAACAGCCGCTGATTAAGAAACAGATATGCACAGAGTGCATATCTGTGGCACCTTTCACCGATCCAGAATTTCGAGATTCTCGAGCTTGTAATTTTTTGGTACATTTACCTGCACTGTTTTTCTTTGAAATTTTAAAATTCTCTTATATCATCATAAATCCGCCCTAGCTCAAGGTCTCAAGATCAAGGACCTCTAAAACAAGCAGCTTAAAACATATTTTTATTCTTAGGCTTACCATTTTATACGGTGTTAGGAATTTTGCTCTCAAATTTTGAGTATTTTCATATCATGGTTGCGTGCATATTTGGTTACAAATACGGCGCACGAAATGCTTGCACAAATACGCACATATACTCACTTGTACAGTCATAATTTTGATATAACATCATCGTCAGATGGCGAAAAGAAAAATACAAAATTCCAGTTTCGGATCAATTTTTCAACAAAACAACAGAATTCAGGATCACTACAACTTAAGTATTTGAGACTTTAAAAGGTGCTGAATTTTGCCGAGCAGTGATCAAATTAATTTTGAGAAGCTGGATACTGAACATTAAAAAAACAGCTAACAAGCACAGAAAATAAAAGGAAGCGTTTTTTTTTTTGACAGAGAAAACAAATTTCGGTAATGCATCGTTTGCGAGCCTTCAGTACACAGCTGTTATACTCAATGCCTAACCAGGGGAACATTTCGTTAGAGCAAACGTACCGAAAAAGCAGAATGATTGAGTTGAAAAATGATTGGAAATTATTGTGTCTGTTGTACTCAGTAGTTGCATCCAGCCAGATATTACCGAACACCTGGAAAAGAGCAAAGAATTAGATAAGATTCTTGTAAAAAACGCCATAAAAATTTGAAACATTCTCTTTCATCACTCAGCAGGCATGGACAGAAAATTCACTTATCAGCGGGCCGGGGCTAACACCACGACTACCTATTTATTAAAAGTAAATGCTATCAAGAAATTAGTGCTTTTCCAAGACACCATAGCCAGCCCTTTACGGAAAGGTAAATGATATCTAGAAATTAGTATATTTGCCTTACAAACGTTATTACATCAATATCAGTTAAAAACCCTGTTTTTTCCGTTTCCGAGTCGAAAGTGGATGACAAAGTTCACTCGCTCATGAATACACAAGCAAATTCCCGACAATATGGATTTTTACATTAGCATAAAATGCAAAAACGCATAAAGAGCTCTGATAAAGCGTAGAGCTACAATCAGTGCTTTGTATAGCAAACTCACGGGCGACGCAACGAAAACGCGGGGGAACGAAAAACGCATATTTTCGATCAGCTTCTCACTCTGTTAAAAAAGTTCCTTTTTTCCTGCGACGAATAAAATTTTTCTTTTCTCCCTTTCCTCGTGCCTGCACAGTCTCTCACCAACCAAAATAAACAGATTTAACATACTTTTTTTTACAAAAAGTACACTTGTTGTGTGTCCAGCGTCGTAAAATCTGCATATATTTTTTTGATAACCCACCTGTTTTATACACAGCTCTTTCTGAACTTTATAAAGTCTACGAGAACTAAGTTTGGGCAGATCACAGTACCACTATAGAACTTTGCAATGCAAAGTGCGGGCAGAGCAAGGCACATTAGCAAATTGCGGAGCAGAGTAAGGCAAATTATGAAATGTACTTCGTGTAAAATTACGAAAAAAATATTTTAAACATGCATATTTGGGTTTCTGCATGTGAGACAAACTGAGATGCTAATTTTAGGCCCATAACCTACCGAAAAAGAAGCTTTGAAGCCAAGAAGAGATTCGAGACTAATGTACAAAGGCATTCTAATCAAGAGTCAGCAGTGGAGAGCCGACTGACGAGCAGAATGTTTCGCTTTCAACGAAATATTCACTAGCTCAATTTGATTTTTACAAGTATCGTAAAATGAAGAATCATTACCTGCATTCCCACTATTGCATAGATAAAAAATAGCATACCAATGAGTAAACAAACATATGGTAAGGCCTAAAAATGAGGATAAGTCAGTATAATAGCGCAACAACATAACTACTATAGGAAGCGCATCGCTGGAGGATCCATCAAGTGCTCTGAAGCAATAGTCTTTACAGAATTATGGTAGTAATTAATACCTTGAAGGACTGAACGAAGGTCCAGAGTAGAATGCGAATGGTGTATCCTTGCTGCAGAAGGCGAATTAAACGAGCCGCACGAAACAGGCGCAAGAATCCAAGCGAAACAAAGTGACCACCGAACTCAGTTACCAGTGCATCCGTTATCGAGCCCACTACCGTGATGAAGTCAAAACGATTCCACCCATCACGAAAGTAATTCTAAATATATAAAGGATACGCTGAATACATCCCAATTAACGGGGCTAGCAAGCAAAGCAATAGAAGTTTATGTAGAGTAGTGACTAAGATTTTATTATTTGATGACCAATGGTCAACCATCTAACATCGGTATAAAATTTTTTAAACGTTACATGCTTCGATTACAGGAAAAAAGAAACTAGCAAAAGCGGTGGGTGCTCAGAAGCTTTCAACAGAAGTTTCTGTAATTACACTATTATGCTAAAATACTGTGTTCTTGTTGTTTCAAATTCTTCTTTGCCTCTGTTGCGCTTTTTCACATTTAATTTTTATTAGTTCAAATATAAATTTGGAAAAACCACATCCAAGACAGATCGGGCATACAACTAAATGGATTTGCCGAGTCAGTCAGCTACAAATTTCTTTGGCATTTCTGTGAGGGAGCAAAGCACGAGCGGCAAAAAAGTACATGGAAAAGATTACCTTTGTATCAGTCAGCTCTTTCCCTAAATTCAGCTTTTCTTTGTGCAAGGCGAAAAGGTGCGTAAAGAAGGATCAGAGGTACTTCGCAGCAAAACATTACCAAACAAATGCGATTTTTTTAATTGTTATATTGGTTTTTTCTTAAGTAGTCGGATTTGAAGAATCTTGTATGCAAAAGATGTAAGTTGCACGAACCCGAACACCAAAAGCTAGTATTTTCAAGATCGATTCCACCGTAAATACTGCTGTCAGCGCCGTATTGAAAAAGCGAAGAATTTTTTCATAAAACTCGGAGTTACCATGGAACTATAACGAGAATTAGTTGTCATAAGGAAGACAACAATCTTAGAGGCAATTAACAGTAGCCGCTTCTTTACTGTTGCTACCTCTTTCTCTGAAAAGAATTGAAAAACTAGTGGGTAAGAGAATTCAGACGAAGTAAGGAAATGTGGAGGAGTTGAAGGGGAAGTAGTTCTATGAAACTAAATTGGAAATCGAGAGACGTCAGCGGAAAAACTGACTGGGTTTGCGAACGAAAATCGTCTGCGAAGGAAGTCGTTATCCCTAGAAATGCTCACTTTGGCCAAATTGTTTTTGAGCGGAAACACAGATTTTCAGAATTCTGAATATCTTTTTGGAGTAAAAATGTGAGGGCAAATGTTTTTTGGTGAAGCAGCATTGAAAGGCTAATCATTTTTTAAACATTTTGGCACAAATAAGCAAGAAAAAACATATCCCAGCATTAGTTCTATTTTTGAATCTGGCTAAGTCATATTCTGATGTGTGTGCTTAACAGTTTTGCTAGTCAGAGATGATTATGTGGGAATTGCAAAAAGGAAGTAACCTTCATCATCAGTATGATTGTATTGCAACAGATCATCGCCATAATGAAGTACTCAAAAGGGGTTGAGGTGACAAGTCGCCAAATACGGTATTTCATCGAATTTTTGTCTTCAGGCATGAACAACGATCGTGGCCGAGCATTCAGTGCGAAATCAATGCACTGCTTCTAAAGTTACCAAAACAATAAAATCTGTCAAAATGTTGCTATATTTATCTTTTTAACATGATGAAGGAAGAGAAAACGATTAATTATACTGGTGGAAAATGAGAATAATGGAAGATTCAGATATGGTCGATTCAGTAACGTGACTAGAGTTTACCTTCTTTCATAATGAAGGGCGCCAAAATCGTCCATGTAGGTAAAATTAATAAAGATGGGTCTCAGATTATCGGTGCTAGCACGTGTTTTCCGTGAAATTCTCTCGAGTAGATATTTTTTGTCAAAAATGGTTTACATGGCCATTGAACTTGGAGATAAAATTCGACATCACTTTGGAAGTTTTGAGCCTGACCACTTTTTTGGCACAGTTACGGACCTATGAAACGGAAGCGATCGAAATCCCAACAGCTTTTTCGGCACATTTAGGGCAGCGTCCGAGAAATCTCAATAGCCTAATCATATTACATCCACAAAAAGCTAAAAATTGCCTCCCTGGAGCCTTCGTAAAGTGACTTTGTTGCCATAATGCATTTATTTTTCAAGTGAAACTTTTGAATATCCAAACATCGAAACCCTGCAGTGTTTAACCAGATAGCCGTTGGTAGTCTTCCTAGCGAGTGGTAGAGGAATGCTGAACTGGATCCAACGGTAATGCTCGAACTAACTTGAAGTCTTCCAAATTCTTGTAAAAAGTAACTGAATAATATTAAGAATCAGTTGATTAACTCAATTAAATCTGCGTGTAGTAAGTAAATTTTAAGTGGGTTCGTTTCCAGTGACAAACCTGCTTGTGCTAACATAGAAGTCAGAGCTACTTAAAGCAGATCAGC